TTCTTTTGTTTCCCACTTTTGTCTAAAATATAAAAATGTAAGAAATGATTATATGGTGGCTTTAATTAAAAAATAGTTGAATATGTGTCAGATATATAAAGATCCATTTCAGTCTTCTATTTATAATCTGGTTTTCATATTTGTAATACTATGAAGTAGGTACACTTAGAATAATGACTCCATGATTAGATGAATAGACTTAAATAGGAATTTATCAGAAATAATTCAAGAAATAATTAAAGAAATAATTGAGGAAATAATATTGAAAGTCTCTTATATACTAGATATGATGCTAGGCTCTAGAAATACAAATTAAGACACAGTCCTATTCACTCAGAGAAAGCTATCCCAAAATGTCAGCCCAAGGAATAAGAGGAAAAGGACCGTATAGACCACCCCAAGCTTTTGCCTAATGATGGATGGATATTTAAATGTTCTATTACCATGCAAAGAATATCTCTTCTCCCCTCCTACCACTTCTAGTACCAATAACATTGTGAAATGATTAAGTAAATATGTAGTGAAAGGGGGTGTCAAGTCAGGTACTGAGTGGGGAAACAATATTGAAGAGAAGAAACTGCTTTTGGAATGATTATCCAGAATCTTCTTCTATTAGTTAAAAATATCTAGCTAAGATTTCCATTCATAAATGTATGCTTTGACATGATAATGCAGTGACATCTAGTATGAAATTTGAATACTACTGTTTTTTAAACACCTTTGAAAATTTAGTAAACTTACTTTTCTGTGCTTACTGTATAATTTAGAATGTTGAGCGTTCTAATGATTAAGAGTATAGTAATGAGTAAGAGTTCTACTAGTATGCTCTCAAATACATGCAGAGAATTGATACTATGTAGATTATCGTCAGTAATAGAAATTTTGTTTTCCATGTCTTCATTTAAATTTTAGGTGAGAGGACAATTTTTTTCTCTTTTGATAACATTAATGTTACTATGAATTTTGAGGAATAAAAGTAAATAACGGAGGGAAAATCTTTTCTATGAGCGGATGGCTTTTGGTATATATCAAGGTCTTGCCATTTGTTTTAGTGCTTAAAATAAACATTATTTATAAGACCACTTACATTTTGATGTTACTTAATGAGGAATATGCATCATTGATTTGACTAGCTTAAGAGGTCATTTAGAACTTGCCCGTTAACAAGCTGTAATCTGCTGAGCACACAATGACTTTGTTTGAAATTATCTATTCAGAGCTGATCAATGACAATAATTGTTTTATACCAATCACTTCTGAAAGTTGCTAATTACTTTGAAGGACATGAATGCTAGTCGTTTTTTTTTTTTTTTTTTGAAGTCATAACCCATTCACCTTGAAATTAAGAAGAAATGTTATGAAAAGTCATCTTGCCTCTTGAAAGAACTTTTTTTTTTAATTAAAAGTTGATCTACTAGTACTGGGATATCAACAGGAAATTTAGGCAAAATTGAAGATGTCATTTGTTCTTGTAAGAGAAAGTATAGTAGACTGTCCACTGTACTCTATCTTAATTAGGGATTGGTTAAACTGATCTTATAATATAAGAAAATGATATCTCTTAAATGAAAGAACAGATACACATACTTTTTCTTTTTATGTGTTACGTTCATAAGATGTTTTAGTGGAAAGAGTCTGGGCTTTTGAATAAGACAGAGATGGGTTTGTATCCTAACTTTGCCATTTATTCTTTTACTGGTTATGTGAACTTGATCAAATTACTTAATCTCAGTTTCTTCATTTTTAACTTGGAGATCATGCCTCATATACAAGGTTATTCTGAGAATTAAAGCAGTTAATGTAATACCTGGCACATTCATGAACTCAGTAAATCTTAGATCCTTTACTTCAACTGGATGACAGCATCTTTACCTGGTCAAGCAATCAGTTTCTATCTACTTTTACCACCCACCTCTATGAAAGCCATTTAAAGATTGATTGAGGGCAGCCCCGGTGGTGCAGCGGTTTAGTGCTGCCTGCAGCCCAGGGCTGATCCTGGAGACCCGGGATCAAGTCCCACATCAGGATCCCTGCATGGAGCCTGCTTCTCCCTCTGCCTGTGTCTCTTCCTTTCTCTCTCTCTCTCTCTCTCTCTCTGAATAAATAAAAACAAATAAAGATTGCTTGATTATCAATCATTATTATTAATGTGGATAAACTTTAACTTATTACTTTAACTGTTGCTTAGAATATGCTTTAGTTCTCAATTCTGAATAAGAGGATTTGTCTTGGAACGGCATTTCAGCCTGTGTTTGGGTAGATGTCTAGGGAGTTTGGATATTAGAAGATCCTCCTGAGAACAGACCAATTGTAGACTCTCTGGAAAAGGTTAGTGCTGTTTTTAGTATTTGCCTGGTTTGAAGTGAGAGGAGACCCATGCCACTGGCTTTTTAAGGTATCCTTCCTCTTGGCATGGATTCGGTTTTACTTTTGTCCTTTCAGTCTTCTTTTCTCAGAATGGGCATACCAACCACCCTAGTGTGACCTAATGTAAATCAACATCTTTCCTTTTACCTTCTAGTACTCCAGCATGGATCTTTTATGTCCTCTGGAACATTTAATTTTATTTTATTTAAAATTTAATGATAAAAAAATTAATGATATTTTTATGTTATAAGTAGTTCCTACTTTAACACTATTTGATATCCTAACATTTTTCCATTCTTCCTGAGTCACTTGTATTGCTGCTGATGGATTTTTCTGTCAGTACTTTTGTCTGAAAGTGTTATTTTCTTTTATTGTATGACTGTCACATGCAGTAAAAGTATGGTGTAATATTTGAAGTCATCCCACCAGCTCTATGACTGAAGGCAAATTATTTAACCTCTCTAAGTATCAATGTGCTCTTCTATCAAATGAGGCTAATAATAATCTCTACCTCAAAATGATACTGTAATGATTAAATTCCATGAGCCAGGAAAATATTTATTTATTTGCATGTATGATTTATATACATATACATATTCCAACTGATTATTATTTTTCATTAGGAAAGTGGTTTGTATCAATTCCTCATCTTTCTTTGTCAGCTGTAATACAGTTTTGGCCAAATTGGAGGGAAATAGTTTATAAAATGAGTATATAACTTTAGAAAAATTAACTTTTCTTATTTAATGAATTTCTAAGATAAGATCATGTGAAAAATATTTGGAAAGACATTTTATAACATTGTTACACTAGCTTGCTTTTCTACTTGGTGTTACTTTTTAGAATTATTCTCTCTGATTTAATTGTTCTTACAAGCTATTTTGCATATCTTCAATTATATTACTCATTCTTATACTAGGAGGTTGGCCAAAACAGTTCTTCAGGATTTTCACATTCTGTATCTCAGATTGTAAAATACTTTTTAAATGGTCATATTTTGAAACAGAAAAATACACAATACAATGAAAACATTTTCCTGTTTATTCTTATAGATCAATCATCCAAGTTATAAAAAATTTTAGGCTCAACATATTTAGTTTATTTTTTTTAATTTTTTTTTATTTATTTATGATAGTCACAGAGAGAGAGAGGGAGAGAGGCAGAGACATAGGCAGAGGAAGAAGCTGGCTCCATGCACCAGGAGCCTGATGTGGGATTCGATCCTGGGTCTCCAGGATCACGCCCTGGGCCAAAGGCAGGCGCCAAACCGCTGCGCCACCGAGGGATCCCAACATATTTAGTTTAAAAAGCATAGGGTTTTGGGATAACACTCAATAGACAAGCATAGAGTGTCTATATTAATCACCCTTTCCTATTGAAAAAAAAAAAGTTTAGAGTTTGTGTGTGTTCCTAGCTTAGCTAACTGTGCAAAACACTGGAGGGACTTCATATCCATAAAGAGAATCAATCATAATATGTGAATAATTCAAAAATAATATAAACTGCCATAAAATTCTAGAGATTGAAGTTAAGTCTTTATGTACAGTTAATATTTTCCCATTTTGTTTCTTCTTCCTGTACTCCTTTAAAGAAGTTGTGTTTTTTTTCCACAAAAATAAGATCTAGGCATTATTTTGTTTTTGTTTCGAGTTTTTCTAATAGAGATTATTAATCTAATAGAGATTATCTAATAGAGATTATTAAAGATAAAACACAAAGAGATTGATTCTCATGATTACTAGAGCATAATAAAGCAGAGGTAGCCCACTTAGGTTTGTTCTCTGAGGCCTTCTTCCCATAGTCCACCCCATTCTAAAAAAAAGTAGGCTCTTTGAACAGAAATGTTTGTTCATTGAAGGTGTCATTTCACTGGTCCCAATTCTATATTTTAATGATTTAGAGAATGGGTTCTGAAGTCCTAATGTAATTCCTGGATCCATCACCAATGGCTATGTAATTATGAGGAAATTTTATAACTTGTCTTTTTAGCAGTTTTTTGTCTATAGGTAAGAATACTTCTCATAGAAGCATTCTAAAGATTAAATGCATAAACATAAGTAAAACTCTTAGAATAGTGCCTCACACATAATAAAAATAATAAATGTTACCTGTTGTTACTGTTAAAAAAGTATGAAAATGTCATGATGAAGATTTAAGACAACATTTGTTTAAAGATTTTGAAACCACCAAAATTTAAAAGCCCATTTGAAAACTGATTTTAATCAGACCAAATACAAACTTAAAGCCAATGGTTTATGAAAACTAAAAAATCCGTTTGGTCAGGAAATGGAAGTGGTAGAGATTGATAAAGCAGATTTTTAATTGTTCAGTCGGTAATTTCACATTTAGTGTTTGTGAAAAATTATAATTTTTAAAAATATAATAACCTCTAAGTATGTTTTATCTTTATGATATTTTGTAATAAATCTGAGTATACTCTACATTTATAGCTGTGTGTATATATATATATATATATATATATATATATATATACTGTTGGTGGAAAAGCTTAAGACTTTATTTGATGTGAGTTATCATTCATCATTACCTTAATTTTAAAGAACTGTTTTTAAAGAACTGTTTATGTTTTCACTAAAAATGCTTATGGCATATATTTTTATTTGCTTCAATAGATTCAGAGGCGATGGCGAGGCTATAGGATTCGGAAGTACTGCTTCAACTATTTTTATTTGAAGGAGTACCTGAGAGCTGTTTCAGAGACCAATGATGCAGTTAGGTGAGTATTTCGCTAGTAACACTTTCAAAAAGGTTACTTAATAGATGTTGATCAATTCCATATTTAGGATTATTTTCAAGGACTCAGTATTACTTTAGGTAAAAATTGATTGATAAGATAGACATATGATTCTATTCACCTTAAAAATTATTCTTGTTTTACTTTTAAATGTATTGTACTCTTGACTATAAATTAATTATGTGTTCAGTAGGCCTATCTGATTTCATGCAAAATAGTTTCAGTAGAATTATCTCATTTTGAGATGGATTTATCTGTAAAATGATTCCATAGATAAAGATTTAAGTATGATAAGCCTCAGATGTATTTTGAGAAATACGATCAATAGTAAGAACTTTCCTCTTAAAGGAGAAAATATCATGGAACATAATTAAAATGGACTGCTTACTATCAACCTTTGCTTCTTTGAACACATAGAAAACATCTGGATTTAGATCATAGGATGATGTCTTTTGTAGATTTAGGCAAACTTATTGTAACACTAATTCAGTCAACTTTACCAAAGAGCTATGTATTAAGTTTTTTTTTTTTAATGAGCTCTGAGAACTCTAAGGTTTTTTTTTTAATATTATATTTATTTATTCATGAGAGACACAGAGAGAGGCAGAGACATAGAGGGAGAAGCAGGCTCCTCTTGGGGAGCCCAATGCAGGACTTAATCCCTGGACTGGGATCACACCCTGAGCCAAAGGCAGATGCTCAAACGCTGAACCACCCAGGCATCCCTGTATTAAGTTTTCATATAAATTCAAATATAGTTTTTATCCCCATATTAGAGTATACCCCACTCTAATAATATAAGTGACCATAGGCTTATGTTTAGGTAAAAAGGAAATAGTAGCTAATAACGGTTACGATTTATGTAGTTTTAATTTTTCACATATTTTATTCTAAAGTTCTTTAAACTAGAGAGAACAATTGCACAATGAATTGTTAAAATAAGATTTTGCCTGAGACCCCAAAGTTATATATAAGAAATATCTGAAAACTGATTTTTCTTTTAAATTTCTCACATATGCTGTGTACATAAGAGGATCTGATCTCTGAAGATTAATTTCAGGTATTTGTTGATGTTGGTTTCTTTGGAAACAGCAATAAAGATCTAGGAGGGTTGCAATAGGATTTGGTCCATTGGAGAAGTTGGATAAATCTCATGTGGGCCCCAGGGGACTGCTATTTAATTTCTTCCTTAAGAAATCCAAGGTCCTAGAGATGGGCTGGCTGTCTACAAATGGCAGATGTGAGCCTGTCTGGAAGAAAGAGCTAGCAGCATATGCAAGAGAGGGAGTTTGCACAGGGCTAGGACTAATGTAGATAACTGAGGCACAAAAGTTGAAGAGGTGCTTACTGGCTGGGCATTGTAGGGGCCAACCCTGCCCTTCTACGACTCCAGTAAGTCATCCTTTACTGGTACGCTGGGGTGGACTCTCTTGCTTCAGCCTAATCCCATCAACCAATAGGAGAAGGTTCTCGAGACAAATATGTGAAAGGCTGGCTTTGAAAAGGCCTGTATCTTCTTCTGGACAGGCATTTCTATTCATCCTTGTGTTTCTTCTGGTTTTACTGTGTGTATCTCTAGTTACTAGGGAATCCAGGGTAATAATGCTGACAATTTGCTTTACCCCGATATTCTTTATCAGATCACAGACTAACTCTTTTTTTCTGCCTTTCTTAGAGGTTTTTTTAAATAAAATATTTATTTATTTATTTATTTATTTATTTATTTATTTATTTATTTATTTCGGGAGAGAGAGAGAGAGAGAGAGAGAGAGAGAGAGAGAGAGAGAATGAGGGGGAGGGGCAGAAGAAGAGAGAGAAAGAAACTCAAGCTGACTCTGCACTGATGGAGCCCCATGCTGGTCTCGATCTCATGACCCAGAGATCAGACCTGTGCTGAAACCAAGAGTTGGTTCTACCACAGCGGAATGGACTGTGCACCCAGGCTCCCCTTTCTTAGACTTTTTAAGCCAAATTGGAAGCTGAATGCAGCAAATCGTTTTTCATTATCTCCTAAAATAATTATATATGATGTTTTTCCTTTTTGACCTATTGACATGTTATAGAATGTATTTTTATTAATAGATATATTAAATAGATATACAGGTACTGTGTACCATCCTGATGTAATTTACATGACAAGGTGGGGTTCTCAAAGCCTCTCCCTTTGCAACCTGGTCTTCATTTTAGCCCAGGATGCCCTTGTGGGTGCACTCAGATGCCTCTTTCACCACCTTCTTGGCATCTTTATATTTGTATTCACCAGGCAGCAGGTTAAATCATGACTGACACTTGTAGGGTGGGGATGCAGAAGGCCATGCCAGTGAGTTTCCCATTTAGTTCAGGAATTCTCTTACCCACAGGCTTGGTGAAGCTTATAGGGGCAGCTCCTTGGCTATCACACCACAGTTTTCCAGAGGGGCCATCCATGGTCTTCTGAGTTGCAGTGATGGTATAGCTATGGTCCTGAGTTTCATAACTGTGGTTGACCTTGGCCTGCAATTGGTGGTGCAGGAGACATTGCTGACAATCATGAGGGAGTTGTCATATTTCTCATGGTTCATACCAATCACGAACATGGGGGCATCAGCAGAAAAGATGAGCCTTTTTGCTCTACCCTTTAAGCCCTAGCCTTCTCCATAGTGGTGAAGACATCAGTGGACTCCACAATGTATTCAGCACCAACATCACCCCATTTGATGTTGGCAGGATCTCTCTCCTGGAAGACAGAGAGGGGCTTTTTTCCATTACTAAGAAGTTTCCCATTCTCAGCCTTGACTGTGCCATTGAATTTGCCATGGAACTGGTAGATTGTGTAGTTGATGTCAATGAAGAGATCATTGATGGCAACAATATACACTGTGCCACAGTTAAAAGCAGCCTTGGTGACCAGGCACACAATATGACCAAATCTGTTTACTCTGACCTTCACCATTGTGTCTCGGGAACATAGCTGGCACTGCACAAGAAGATTGAGCTATCTGTTGAACTTGGAGGAATAGAAGAAATAGACTAATATTAAAATCATCATTCTGTGTTAGGACTATCTAACTGAGCCATTATTATTCTTTTAATTTATTAGTAAATTATATCAGTATTTTACATAGGATATTTACGTCCATTTTTATATACATGATTAGTTATAGTTTTCTTTCTTGTGTTGTAATTTACAGGTTATCAATTTTTTGCTATATTTACTAGATGAACTGAATAGATTATATGGCATGATAATCGGAAAGGAAAAATACTGCTCTGTTTTCTGTCTACTCAATACTTCTGGTCACCAAATGTGTGGGTTTTCCAAGCCAATGAATCTCAGACATCAACTAGGTATCCTGCAATTTAACTCAATTCTAAAACTACTTATCTAGTGATAGCATCATTTCCTACAGGTTAAGGGCTCAGTCCCACAAGACTGTCTTCCTTCCCACCCCTGTCCAAACTGAAGATATCAATCCCAAGTGACATGTCACCATTTTACCCACAACTTCTGTTCAACTTGGCTACAAATCAGAGATTCCTAGGACCTCCTCCCCAAGGTCAGTCGTTTACTGGAACTGCTCAAGAATTCAGAAAGACAGTTTATTTACTAGATTACTGGCTTATTACAAAAGGATACAACTCAGAAAGAGCCAGGTGGAAGAGATGCATAGCGCAAAAGATGGTGCAGGGAGGCCATCTTCAAGCATCAGCAATCCAGAAAAATTTCTGAATTCTCTAAGTTAAGAGACTTTTATGGAGGCTTCCTTAGGTGGGTATGATTGATTAAATATTTGACCACATTAGTGATTAACTCAATTTCCAGCCCCTCTCCATTCTGGTGGATGTTGGAGGTAGAGGGGTGGAGCTAAAATTTCCAACCTTCTAATCACATGATTGGGTCTCCTGGTAGCCATCCTCCATGCTCATTAGCATGCACAGTCATCTTATTAGCATGCAAAAAGACACGCTTTGAAGAAATTTCTAGGAGTTTGAAATCAGGTGTTGTAAAAAGACTGTTGAGGAAGGGCCAAAGGAATACTCTGGGGGTGTTAGGAAGTCCCCTTGGCTCTGAGTATAGCCCTACAGATAACGTAATATATCTCTATGTATGTGAACTGGTTTAGCTTTTGTTGTCTTGATAGTAGTTGGCAGTTCTAGGACTGCTTATTGCTTTACACTCTCCTATTTCTTAGAGATCTATGCAAAGCTACCATTCCTGTACATTTCTTCATTTAGTCCTATGTCCCCTGCCATTCTGTGGTGTAGTTCAGGAAATCTGCCACAGTCGAGTTTTGCTCTACAATATTATTCTGAGCAAGGAGGACATTGCTATTTTTTCTCCCCCAAGTATGCCACCTAATTTTGCACCTGACAATCTCTCTCTAAAATCTGCATCTTCAGATATCTTGTCTCTGTGACATCTCTGATCCTGCTTGAATTTTCACTACTCTTGCTAGCCCTTCTTCATATATATTACTCTTAAGGGTTTCTAATTTTACTGATGATAGAGTTTCCTTTTATTTTCTTATGACCTTTCTTATTTTATGGCAGTTTAAGAGAGGAAGGGGTGGGGATATATTTACTCCACCATCTCAAAATTGGAAAAATAAAATTAACTTCCTAATATAAGTCACCATTTGTTTTCTTTCTGTTACATAAAGTTTTACAAATGTAATGAAAGTATGCTACAGGGTACCATAGAAGAAGCACAGAAGAGGAACATCTTAGGCAAAAGTGATTGGTATTGATCAGAGTAGGAGTGGGAGCCTGGGAGTTAGGGACATTTCTCTGAGGCTGTGAAACTAAGCCCCGAAGATTGTGCAGAAATTAGAACATTAACACAGGAAATCTCACTGAGGTTGATGCATGGAAGATTATAGAAGGTTCCGTTAGAGATAGATCCAGACAGTTTAGCAGGAACCATATCAAAACAGGGCATTTTAGAGCATATTAAAGAGTTTAGATGCTATTCTAAGAACATTGGAGTAGACTTCCTTTTTTTT